AATACCCTTGATAATAAAATAAGCTTCCAGACCTTCTCTTCTCAACTCCAACAACAACCCCGGCCTTCTCCTTTCCTTTCCTTTTCTATCCTTCCTCCTTCCACTCACGCCAGCCACACCCAAAGCCAACTGCAGCTGTCCCAATCTTTTCCTTCCCAGTCAAGCTCCTGCGAGCACTCTCAGGCAGTCCCCGCTACAACTGCATATCAGCATTGTAGTTTCTATTTTTGGCAAAACCAGTCCTTTGGTTCACTTAATAACCATGGTGTTCACCTAACAACCACCCAAAAAAAAGGTCATGAAATCCAATTGACAACATGGGTAACCCAATTTACAACAGTCACAATTTAAAACCATGATGGGCAGGCTCCATTACAGTCACAAGTCGAGGATTACCTCTAGATACAGTATATTAAAATGTAAATTGGCAGGAAGGACACAGAAAGGGCATTTTTCCTATCACTGTCTTGGGAAAAAAAACAGCAGGGCAAATGCTCTGAAGTAGTTCGAGAGTGGTTGGAGTGACCTAGACAAGGCTACACATATTAACAGAATAATAGAGTTGGAAGGGACTTTGGAGGTCTTCTAGTCCAACCCCCTGTTCAAGCAAGAGACCCTATACCATTTCAGACAAGTGGCTATCCAGTTTCTTCTTAAAACCTTCCAGTGATGCAGCACCCACAGCTGTTCCACTGGTTATTGTCCTCACTGTTAGGAAGTTTCTCCTTAATTCCAGGTTGCTTCTCTCCTTGATTAGTTTCCATCCATTGTTTCTTGTCTTGCTTCTGGTGCTTTGAAAAATAGATTGACTCTCCTCTTCTTTGTGGCAGCCCCTCAAATTTTGGAATACTGCTATCAGTCAGCGTACTAGGCTAGGAGGACAGAAGATAATTCTCATGTTTATTATTTATGTACATTTTATTCTACCTTTCTCATGGTTAATGCAGTATATGTGTATGGACACTCTCACTGGTATCTCAAGGTTCTTCCAAGAATAACAATTAGATTGAGAAATCATAATTGATCCAAGGTTTGCCACTGAGTTCCAAATTATATTATAATGCAAGTATAACTCAATGCAAGCATTTGTAAATTAACAGTACCACTAACTCTTAAATAATTTGTTTGGACTGCATGGCAGGAGACAGGAACTTAGTAAAGGTATGGAGAGATCCAGAACTGTATGTAGACTGTCATTTTCTTTTTGATATTCCATTCATTCATTCATGGTCAAAAACTAAAATAAAAACAATATTACAGGTAGTCCTCGACTTACAATCATTTTTAGTGACTGTTCAAAGTTACAACAGCACTAAAAAAGTGACTTAGGACCATTTTTCACATTTATGACCATTGCAGCATCCCTTGATTACATGATCAAAATTTGTACGCTTGGCAACTAGCATATATTTATGACAGTTGTAGTGTTCCAGGGCTAGGTAATCACCTTTTGTGACCTTCTGACAAGCAAAGTCAATGGGGAAGCTAACTTAACAACTGTGGTGATTCACTTAACAACTGAGGCAAGAAAGGTTATAAAATGGGGCAAAACTCATTTAACAACTGTCTTGCTTAGCAATGGAAAATTTGGGCTCAGTTATGATCGTAAGTCAAGGACTACCTGTATAGGATTCTTTTCTCCTGTTCAACTGTGTCTGATTCTCAAAGACTGCCTGGACAAATCCCTACAGTTTTCTTGGCAAGGCCAGAAGTGGTTTGCCATTGCCTTCTTCTTAGGGTGGAAAGTAAGTGACTGGTCCAAAGTCACCCAGATGGCTTTGTGCCTAAGGTGGGACTAGAACACTCACAGTGTCCTGAGTTTCTAGACTGATGCCTTAACTACTACACCCGACTGCCTCTTAATATTATAGTATAAGTCCACAAAACAAGATGAAAAATTAATATAAGGGGAAAACATTAAATGCTAGTGATCTATACAAGGCATAAGTGGCCAGGCTAAACTGAAATCTACTTCAAACTTGTTTGTTCCAATGGTAATTGCAACTGAATAGAATTTGGTAGATTTCATATAAATCTCCAAAGATTGATCCAGTAGTAGAAAGTTCACAACCTTAATTTCAGGGCAATCCATGCATTTAATAAGGAGAGGAAAAATATTAACCTGGGACACCAAGCAAGGCAAAGCACATTATTTCACCTAGCAAGAGTTAACATGATCATGAAGATGGTTTTCGCAAGGTGAGGCCATGGCCCTTGAGATGTTCTGATTCCTGTAATTTTCTCTTTGCTGACAGTTTTTTTCTTCTTCAAGGAACAGCTGCAGAAAAAGTAGTAAAAAGTTTTCAAAGCACTGAAAATAGGTCAAAGAATGCATGAAATTGCCCAATGTCTCACCCTTATCTAACACAAATTTGAAATGAATACTTAATGAGGCCTTGTGTTCATTTATTAAGAGAACATTCCATTGCATGTACACTCTAAATGAACTAAGTAAAAAAAAGTAAGTCTTCTTGCTTTTATTTTTAAAATTTGTACTTCAAGTTTTAATTTTTCTGTGGTTCATGCATAGATAATTCTTCCCATTTAGTTTTTTGCATGTTTGCAAATAGGAAGAAATCCAATCCAATCCAATAAAATCAGATTTATTCATCATACTTTGGAGTCTTCTAACCCTGCACATATTGCATAACATTAGATTATCTACTATTATAATTATTATAATTCTAAAATATGTATCTAAAATGTAATGATTCTTCCATTGTATTAAACATATTGAAATATTTTATTAATGATTTCACTTTTCAATAACACACAATATATGTTATCCATGTATAGTAAAACATGATTTATTGGAATAATGGGCCATCTATAGATGATAGTTTAGTATTGGTGATATTACTTTTAAGAGTAAATAGATCAGTTAAAGAATACAAGAAAGCCAAAATATATGTCGTTAAGCTGCTTTACTAATAGAGGATTGTTCTCAAATCTAGCATGGCCATGAAATAGATTATATAGTTAGGTTAATTTGGGCAGTGGTGCTTTAGAGCAGTGGCCCCCACCTTTTGAGTGCCAAGGACTGGATCCATGGAGAGAGGTGTTTCTGCACACTGGAGGGGTGTGTGGTTTTGTGCTCTGCCTGCATGTGCAGATGGGGCTTTGCTCATTTACATTGCCCGCTTTTTGGACCTGGGGTTGGGGACTCCTGCTTTAGAGAACACAGTAGTCTATTCCAGAAGTACATAGAAAGCCACAAAGTGAAAGTGAGTGCATACAAAACTGAATAAAGTATCCAAAAATAATTTTGGAGAAGAAATCAGAGTTATAAAAGTGTTGGTGAGAAAAAAACCTAGGAAAGCAAGTGGTTCAAGGCTTCTTATTTTCAATTTCAAATACAATAGTCAAGGTGAAATTTGTAAATTTCACCCTTTCTAATCATTTTGATATAATACAATCACAACAAATGGAGGACCTGAACTGTATCTCCTTTGCTTTCTTTTATAGTATCATAATGTACCATAGCATTCCATTATTTGATTTCTCCAAAGGTCATAAGTTCAGATTGCAACCATCTGATACAGCCATGACTCAGTTAGCTGGTGGACACAATATTTCCAATATGCTGAAACAGGGTGAATTTAAGGCAGGGGTGTCAAACTCACAACGTCATGTGACATGTCACGTTGTATCGCGACTTTTCCATTGCCAGCAATGGGGTGGGCACAGTTTCAGCATGATGCATCCGGCCCGCGGGCCGGCAGTTTGACACCCCTGATTTAAGGGCATGTGAACAAGAGCCTTCTAGCACTTCTTAGGACTACTTTCCTTTCTGCTTTAATTTCATGGCTGCCATGGTACATTCTTACAATTTAACCCACTGTCTTTTAACCTGACAATTTTACAATGTGTGTATTTGAAGTCCATACATCTTAAAACGCCAATTTTGAAAAACATAGGTCTAATCCTAGTAATGTGTTACCAGTAGAGTTTGGCATTATGGCTAAAAAAGTGTACTCCTTTGATTTATATATGTTAGTTTCCAAGGCACTGTAAATATATTACCACAAATACAACAACAACAACAAACAAAAAAAGCATGTGGTAGAAATACACCACAATAAACACAGATTGAATATTAAGACAGGCACATCTTAGAACAGGGGTCCCCCACCCCTGGGCTGCAGCCCATACCAGACCATGACCCATTCGGAACCAGGCTGCTGAAGACATTCGGTGAGCATTCGTGCATCCAGCTCTATTTGTGCGAGCTATGGGCCCGTGTGCCTGCTGCTTGTGCAAATGAAGCAGTATGCTCACATGCACTCACTCACCACTCACACGTGCTTGTGCTCGCCCACTGCTCATGCAGAACCATTCCCTCTTCTCCTCTTCCACTGGTCCGCAAAGCCAGAAAGGTTGGGGATCACTGTCTTAGAACATTTGCAAACAGCTGTATCACTGGTGATAAATTCTGCACATCTTTCTTCTCTATCTTCTTCTTACCCTAAATTACTTTGGTTTAGAAAACTTACCCAAATTCCTGTTTCTGCATCCAACAATTCTTGTTTTGTAATATTCTTGGGCTGAGTGGTCACAGGATGAAGACTAAAGAAAATATTATTTACATTTAGATGACTGAAAATCTGGAGTGATGATACTACATTACTATAAAGCATAAATATAGTTTGGTGCTAGTATCTAGTACTTAAATACCAAGAACTAATAGTAACGAACTGTATACCAATATTACAAATTTACAGAATTTTCTTGGTACATTTTCAGGTTGCAAATAAATATAAACTAAATACAATAAAGATTTTTTTTCATTTGTTTTTTTTTTATATCACAGGGGTATTATTTTTTTTGAAGATAGAACCTTCATTTTGGAGCCACTGGAAGGTGCTATGAATGAACATATAATCTATAGACTAAAACACCCAAATCTAATCCTGGGTACATGTGGCCATCATCTCAATCTTACTGGTATCACTTTGGGGGATACTGCACAGCTTATTCAGACATTTACTAGCAGAGTAAGTGACAATTTAATTTAATTTTCTCATGTTTTAGTTGATTTAATTTAGTTTTCTCGTGTTTTTATAGTATATGTTTAAACAAATGTGCTGTTATGACTGAAAATTGAGGTGCCAGCTGATAAAAATGTATGTGTTTGTTTGTCTGTTCATTTGTTGAACTCCCAAGGAGAAAAACACCCCCCTCCCACCAACAATTCAGGGCAAGCTATTGTATATAAAGAGGGCGCAAATCCCACACTCACCAGGACAGATAGTATTATGTAGTTTGGTAGCAAAATGTTTGCAAACAACCAAACTCAGAGAGCACCAAGGTTTCCACATTTAGATTATCCACACTCAGAGAATATACCATCATCATAATAATAGAGGATCAGATCCATAACTTACAAAAATAAAAGTTTACCTGCTGTATATTTTAGAGTGGTGCCCTTGAGAATAAGTTCTTTTTGTAAGCGATTAATAATGATGAAGGGACTGGTGTCTTTTAGCAAAGCAGTTTCTCTTCTTAAATACTTGCTAAAAATTCCAAGTTTAGTATGTCAGATTGAGGTGATTTGGAAATCATAGCTTTAGAACAAGAAAGCAAAATTGGACTGCTGTAGTTATTTGTAGGAATTGCTATAGGAATACATTTTTCACATTCACCACACTAAAAACTATTTAATTTGATACAATAAAAGCTTTAAGTGATACGTAATGCATACTGTTGAAAGTTTTGTTTTAATTGCTGGAAAATGAGTCATGCCTAACCATATAATCAGAATATATAATACTGACCCATTGTAACTATGTGCATATATCTTGAAATCATTTTATATGAATTTATATGAATATATATTTTCCATTTGGGGGGTTGTTTAAGGCTTGTACCTATAAATGTATCGCTTTTATTCATGAAAATATGTCTGAATACAACAAGTGAATAAGCAACGACACTGCTTTGTAAATCAGGTGCTATTTGCATATAAATTGAGGTATAAGAGTGAATTGTTAGAATTCATGGAGATGTTCCATGTTTAGCATATGATATGGCTGATATGGTTGTTATTTCAGCTTTTACACTATAGAATGTCATATAGGTGACACCTTAATTTTGAAAAATATTATATTTTGTACAATACTGAAGTACAATGAGTAATATATCCAGAATATGATATTTGAAATAACTTGTTGCTTATTGAGGCTAAGGTAATTTTGATTTTCCTAGTACCTGAATAAAATGATTGGTCAATTTTTTTATCTGTAGATTATTCATAATATTTAAGTTGCTTAGTATTATAGCACTGGGGCAAAAAGATATACATAGAAATGTAGATCTTCTTAAAATATAACAGCTCTTATTTCATGCTTGTTTTGATAGCACAAAAGAGAAACTCTGAAGTCCACCAAGTATGTGGAACTCGTAATTGTGGCTGATAATCGTGAGGTGAGCAAAACCTAAAGTTAAAAAAGATTGTGGGTATAAAGACATACACGTATTTATAAATTGATGGAATAATAGTAACCTATTCTGAATTTTCCACACAATGATAAAACTAACTATCTGTCCCATTTGGACATTTAAATCTTTGCTACATTGCCTAACTTTGAATCAGAGGGAATGGAAATGTCTTGTACAAATAAGAAAATCTTTATATTGGTTTCTTTAGATATAGTTTACCAACTACAAGTTATATTCAAAGTTGCATAAATTACTGAAGTTTTGCTAAAGAAATTCATAATAGATGGATGGATTTTTACACTTTGTAAAAATTAGTGGAAGCTGTGAAGTGCAATCAAAAACATTTTTTTAAAATTTGCACTATATTGCCATTTGCATTTTTCCACATTTAAAAATTACTGATTAGTTAAATAATAATATTTTCTCTCTATCCATCCATGGTAAATAACTAACTGAAAACTTTCCTTTTGTACAGCATGAAGTGTCCCAATGAAACAATTGTGTGAGAAACAAAATTAAAAGCAACATTTTCTTTAAATTTAAAAAACTATATTCTTTCATGCAATCCAATTATATAAGAATTATACTATAAGCAGTAGAAAGATGCCTTTGGCCTTTTTTCAGTGTAAAATCTAGACATTGGTGTTACTGCTTTTTCAAAGAAGGCAAGTTAGATTTCTCGAGTACTAAATATAATGATAATTTAAATGATTAAAAATCATTTCTAGTTTCAGAGACAAGGCAAGGATGTGGAAAAAGTGAAACTGAGGCTAATAGAAATTGCAAACTATGCTGATAAGGTAAATTTTTCATTGGTACTATAACAATTTCCTTTGCTATAGGGCAGTCTGCTTGACTAACCAGTCAAGTCTAATCTTACAATCAGGTCGTTCCAAAGGTGCTTTTTCAAGAGTAACTGGACTGTCTTATTTTTCTTGAAGACGTTTCACTTCTCATCCAAATTAACCTATACTATATAATCTATTTCATGGCCATTCTATATTCAGACAACACAGACTCATCCCCAACAGCCTTTACCTATATTCAACAGTGAAGGGACACAGGGCAGAAAACATCCTGCAGAAAGCACAGCTCCACAACACAATCCTTTCAGCAGTTCCAAGAAGGTGCCACACCCATTTGCACTACTCAGGTGACTCTGAGGACACAGATAAACCTTCAAGTCACCTCAGTGACTTTCTAAAGGAATGCAAATGACTATCTGTCTGCAAGGAATAGCAATCCTTCCATTTCTCACCATCCAGTCAAAGCATCTTCAAAGAAAACATCTTCATAGAAAAACAAGAAGGTCCAGTTGCCTCTTGAAAAAGCACCTCTGGGACAACCATAACCTGGATGACTGAGAATCTCCATAGACATTTACAGTCAGATTATATTAATACACTTGTACTATATATAGACAATCTGTATTATATAAGAATACAAAAGCATGAGAATAGCTTTGCAGGACCAGATCATGGCCTATCTTAATCCAACATTCCCCTCCCTCCACACTGCCCAACAAGATGCCTCTGGGTACTCCAAGAAGGAGATGTAGATTCTTCTACTACTTCTACCACTCCTTCCCTGCAACTGTCATTTAGAAGCATACTTCACCCAACTCAGAGGTGATAGCAGTAATAATTTATTATATACTTGACATAATTTCCCTTGTATATGTGCTATTTTAAAATGCTGTGAATCAATTGTTGTCCCCTATGATCTAACCATCATCTATGTAATAAGACACATACATTGAATGTTAGACACATAGCTCTTAATCAAATAGTACATTTTTGTATGCCATCAAATATTTTAGAAGACATCATCTTTACTGACTGAGAGGAGAAACTGAGAAGGAAGTTGTCCAGTGAATTATATAAAACATGTCTACTATTTATAGTATCTACAATTTGTCTCGTTTATTAACTTTAGAAGTTGTGCAAATATAATCCAGAATTTTTATCTGGTTTTCTCATTAGTTCTACAGGCCATTAAATATTAGAATAGTTTTGGTTGGATTAGAAGTCTGGAATGATGTGGATAAATGTACAGTAACTCAAGATCCCTTCACCACTCTTCATGAGTTTCTGGATTGGCGAAAGATGAAACTACTACCTCGTAAACCACATGATAATGCACAACTAGTCAGGTAAGCCTACAAACACCAAAACTGGAACTTAGAATTTTAGATGCATTATGTTGCTAGAGACATGACAAAAAAAAAAGTTGGTGAATAGAAGGGCAATACATAGGCTACATATTAATTGAATCCAATACTATATGGTACTATTGTCATTCCTCTAGAAAAACACTACATCCATATC